GACAAGTCATGAGAAAAACCAGAGCACCAAATGTTCCCGAGCAAACAGACCTCATGTGAGCAAGAGTCTTCAATTCAATGAATTCTTTTAGAAACTGATCCACTTCAATCTGTCCGCTCAAATAGCAGCCGGCGACCACCTGAAACAAAGAAGCAATTCAGCCTAAGCAACATCGTAACAGCTGTGTGCCAGAGACTTTTTAGTGCCTCATGCGGTACAAAGCGATCATGAGGGATGAATGCAAAAAAAGGAAGCTGACCTCGCTGTCGTCATCGGCCGCTTGAGCGGCAGCTTGCAGGAGCGCACTTGATGTGTCCAGTGACCTCTGCTCAGAGAGCGAATCTGCAATCGCCTTTCATCTCCAACACTCTATTCGCATGCCACAATTTTGCTTCATTTTGTGATCAACACTCATTTGCACTCAACTAATGCAGTGGACGGCGGTGATGGGTATGTATCCAACTTAACCGATCGAGTCTGGCTTGCAACACCAGAATCATCAGCTTCCCCTTACCTCCTACTTGCACTCCAAACCTGAAAACTCAACTACACCAAAAGTGAATCTCGACCGAAATATTTTGCATCTACTGCCTCCGGCAGCTCTTCGCTTTTTCTTTTCTCCCTTTTGTAACCTGTGAATGAAGATGGACCTGTCACTTCCTGCCCTTCTCCCCTATCCGTTCTGCTTCGTTCTAACGAATTTCCTGAGAAATAATTCAGACTAACACAAACTTCTTGTCTTTTAGGAACACTTAACATTTCAAAGCTAATTTTGGTGCGTAGATGGCAAGCTTATGAGTTTAACAGCTAACTTTCGATGCTCAAACCAACTCCGTTGCTCAGCACTGAACAACTACGGGCAAATCTGGAAAAATAAGAGACGACGGCACGCTCTATCCCCAACGTGCTTCTTTGCTTTCGCAGGATTAATAGATAATAAAAACGACTAGCTAAAAGCATGCTCAGAAAACAACGCCTTCCGTGAACTGGAATGCAACGTACCCAATTTTTCCTTCAACGATAACACTTCCTCCTTCACTTTAACCGCTTCTTCATAGCTACTCAGCAACCTTCTCTTGGCTTCTTCAATTTTTGGCTCCTGCGACAGATTCCATTCTGCAAGCGATTTATTCTGCACCAGGCCCATCTCACGCTCAGTGGGCAACGTGCGCACCTAAAAAATGCAAAAGGAATAAATAGCAATGCGCACCAGACTAGTCGGTGCTATAATGCGTTTTGTGCAATTCAGCCCATCGAGCGATTGCCTATTAATGACTTTCACTGCTTTGCACTTTAGTCTATGCAAAAATAGTTCAAACATTGGAAAACAGTTAAAAATTTCTGCACCAGCGTATGAAAGCTAAATTCGAAACCTTGAAGGATGAATATCTTTCCGTGATTCCCGCGTTAATAGTTAGCGCATGAAAGCTGAATTCGAAGCCTTGAAGGATGAATATTTTTCCTTGATCCCAGAGTTAATTTTTTTCACTGCTTTGTACTTTAGTCTATGCAAAAGTAGTTCAAACATTGAAAAACAGTTAAAAATTTCACGCACAGCGTATGAAAGCTGAATTCGAAACCTTGAAGGATGAATATCTTTCCGTGATTCCCAAGTTAATAGTTTGGCGCATGAAAGCTGAATTCGAAACCTTGAAGGATGAATATCTTTCCGTGATTCCCGAGTTAATAGTGCATGAAGGCTGAATTCGAAACCCTGAAGGGTGAATATCTTTCCGTGGCTCCCTAGATATTAATTTACCGGTAAAAAACTTTCACGGGGCTAAACGTGTTACCCGCGGGTACGGGGAAGCTGAATTTAAATTTGCGAGGTCACACGTGGGTGGGGAACG